TCATAGAAACATAGAGAAGTAGGTCTGGAAGGGATTTCTAGAAGTCACAGAATCATAGAAAATTAGGGTTAGAAGGGGCTTAAGGAGGTCATCTAGTCCAATCCCTGGCTCAAAGCAGGACCACCCCCAACTAGATCATTCCAGACAACTGTTTGTCTAGTCGGGTCTTAAAAACCTCCAAAGATGGAGAGTCCACAACCTCTCTGGGTAACCTGTTCCAGCATTTTACTACCCTCTTAGTGAGAAAGTTCTTTCTAATATCTAACCTAAACCTCTCTTGCTGCAACTTGAGACCGCTGCTCCTTGTTCTGTCATCTGCCACCACTGAGAACACTCTAGTTCTATCATCTTTTGAGCCACCCTTCAGGTAGTTGAAGGCTGCTATTAAATGCCTCTCCACCCCCACCCCCCCGGTCTTATCTTTTCTAGACAAAATAAGCCCAGTTCCCTCAGCCTCTCCTCATAAGTCATGTCTCCCAGCCCCCTCACCACTTTTGATGCCCTCTGCTTGACTCTCTCCAATTTGTCCACATCCTTTCTGTAGTGGGGGGCCCAAAACTGAAAACAGTACTCCAGATGTGGCTTCACCAGTGCTGAATAAAGGGGCATAATCACTTCCCTTGATCTACTGGCAACACACCTACCAATGCAGCCCAGTAGGCCATTAGCCTTCTTGGCAATAAGGACACTCTGCTGCTCATATTCAGCAAATTGTTCACTGTAACCCCCAGGTCCTTTTATGCAGAGTTGCTGCCCAGCCAGTCAGCCCTCAGCCTGTATGACTGCATGAGATTGTTTTGTCCTAAGTGCAGGACCTGACACTTGTTGTTGTTGAACCTCAGGAGATTTTTGTTAGTCCAATCCTGCAATTTGTCTAAGTTGCTCTGAATCCTAGCCCTACCCTCCAGCATATCTACTACTCCCCCCAGCTTGGTGTCATCTGCAAACTTGCTGAGAGTGCACTCTATGCCATCTTCCTGGTTGTTAATGAAAATATTGAACAAAACTGGCCTCAAGAATGTCCTGGGACACTTCACTTGATACCAGCTCCCAACTAGACATCAAGCCATTGATTACTACCCTCTGAGCCCAACAATCCAGCCAGCTTTCTATCCACCTTATAGTTCTATCCACCTTACAGGTAATCTAGTCCAACCCTCTGCCTGAGGCAGGATTATCCCTATCTAGCCCATCCTATACAAATCCACTGTCTAAACTTCCAGCAAAACTATACAGTCAACCCAGACACAACACAAGACATAACACTAATCAGCCAGATGTAAATCAGAGGACCAGAGGCAAGTATCCTGATGCTGCAAGGTTCTTAAAATACATTCAGGAGATCCCAGGAAGAGGGCCATGGCCTCTGCTACAGAGGAAGGCAAAAACCCTCAAAGTCCATACCTATATGACGATATAAAATTCCTTCCTGACCCCAAATATGGCAATCAGTCTGACCCTCAGCAGACAGGCAAGACTCTCTAGTCAGCATTAGCACAGACTAGTCAAAATACCCAGCCATGGCCAATGTCTCCGATTAAAATGCAACAGCAGGAAGGGAAAAATTCCTTCTTGGCCCATGCAACAACCAGCAAAGGCCAGAAGCATGGGAAATACCCATAGTACAACATAGGCATAGCTACACCTAGATCATCCCTGACCATAGCTCAACCTCTTCTTGAACACCTCCAGTGATGGAAATTCTACAACAGCCTATTCTACTGCCTTAGTGCTCTAACAGTAAAGCTTTTCCTGATACCCTATCCAAACCTATTTTGCTGCAACTTCAAGTCATTGGTCTATGTCCTCCTTTCTGCAGCAAGAGAGAAAGTTGTTTTCCTCCTTCCTTATGGCAGCTCTTCACATATTTGAAGACTGCTATCATGTCTTCTCTTAAGCACCTTTTCTGCAAGATGAACAGGCCTATTTTCTTCAACTGCTCTAACTAAAGTTGGGAACTCACTTGTGTCTTAGTTGACCTCAGAAACCGATATCCATCTCCCCCCTACCCCCCCGAAATTCCTTTGAAGCCCAAACCAAGTCTAGATCCATCAGACCTCAGAATCAGTAACGTAACATATCCCTACATATTAATCCTCCCCTCCCCATAACAATAGCTAGGAATTTCTAGCCAGAATTGAAATAATTTTGCAGCAGACTCCTTGTCTTATGTAGGAAGGGATCTACAACCCACAAGAGTGCTTGGCATCCAATCTCAATGTAAAGTCCAAATAGAAAGCTTTTAAACAAAAATCAAACAAGTGGCAAACAAATTTCAGTACAGAGACTGATGTAAACATACTTATTATTCAGCTAATAAATTGTCAAATGCAGTTAGAAAGCTAGCTAGCTTTTTTGAATGATTTTTTATTGCTGAGAATATTAATATAAAGCTCATCAGGCTACACTTTTGTAATAAGTACTATATCAAATATAGACACAGAGTTTGTGTATATATACTGCACTAGGTATTTAACTAAAATTGATAAGAACTTGCCATTCATTTCAATGAGAATAGTAGCCTCCAACTTAAAAAATTAACTTTGCTCTGACAAGAAACTCACCACATTTCCTTTATTTTTACTGCTGCCAGAGGGAAACTGTGGCAGGGTCCCATCTAAGCATTCTCCCTCATGACATAAATGGTCCTATAAACCTACCTCCCCTTTCTCCAAATATTTCCTGGCTCCTCAAATAACTTATTCCCAGCTCAGAGCATGGAAGTAATATTCCCAAATTCACCTTATTCCGAAGTTTTAGATTTATAGTTACCATATAGCCAGGGTGAAAGCTGCAGCCCTTTATCCTTTCCACATATCTCCTCCTGTCCTGGTCCATGTTTCACTACTATATTCCCTACAATTAAGGGATTCCACAGCATTCCTTTCTAAGGCTGAACAACAGTTCCCTCCCAGTTACGAGTAATGCCCACTTGCCAGTCTCTTCCAGGGGTTCCTTGCCTGGGATCACTGAAGACTTGATTGGTTGCAGACTGCCCCCCAAAGTCAACCCATGTGTTACTTCTAGAGCAAGGGGAAGCCTGGGATGTTCCCCACTCTGAGACCCTGGCCTTTCAGTCCTTCACCTCCCTGTTCTCCATAGCCCTAACTCAAGGAACAAGCATCCGTTCTACCCCTGAAAGAGGGACTTTACCTCTTATTAAGAAGAACAATTGGAACCTGAGGGCATTTTACTCATGCTTATAGTTGTAGAAGCAGCGAAATGCATGTCAGTGCTGTCAAAATGGCGGTGGTGTGCTTCTGAACTAAAACAGATACGGGGTGCTTTAGTTCAAAAGCGCACTGCCACCATTTTCTGCACGCAAACATGCATTTCGCTGCTTATACAATTGCATGCAATGCAGCGCAGTGTGCATCAGCTCACATGTGGAGCAAACTTGATTAGTCGAGTGTGCTCCGAAGCAGCAGATCTTCGGTGCATCGCGGGACCAAAACGTATATGTATAAATGCCCTGAAGTCCCAAGCTCTGCTTTAATACCTTTACTGGGGAAAAGACCACCTATCCAAGTGTTCTCTGCCCCGTCCTTCAAAGGATTAATCAGTTCCTGTCCCCAGTCCAGCCCACATAGCCCAGGGCATCCTCAAAATTTGTTCTACTGTGTTCTTTCTGGTCTTTTCCAACTGTTGAGCCCCCAAGCTTCTTTGCTGGTCTCTTATCTCCAGACTTTCTCCTCAGACTGTCCCAAACAGGAGATGAAACCTTCTTGCCTTCTTCCTCATTTCTCCAATGCTATAGTCACCTCATTCAACTTTCCTCCAGTCTCAAGGGTGTTGGCCATGTCACCTTTGTTGATATATCAACAAAGTTATCAGGATTCAGTTGATGCTAGAAGTCCATCTAGTCTCCTCCCACAAATAGGCATATCTCTTGCTTCACAGTCTCCACATTTACTACCCTTATGGATAAAGTGAGGCACACAACAGAAATATTACAATAACACCCCATAATATAGCACACCCTGTCCTTATGAGGGCTCTACCATCTACCAGTATTTAGAATCCAGATCCACTTCGCAAAACCTCTCTTTTCTCCCCAGACTCAATTAATGGTTGGATCTTATTCTAGTCAGGAGGTAACTCCTTAACATTTATCCCTATTTCACAGCTGCTGCTCCTTTAAACTCCAATTTCCTTGAAGGAACTGCAGAACACGGTTGGCCAGCTCTAAGCCCTTTTCCTCCTTAAAAGAGACAGACAATTCTGATATAAAATAATGAGACTGTAGCAACAAAACCCCAAGAACATCCAATTAATCTATAATTTGACCTTCCTCAAGAAGACCAATGAAATAATATAGAAGCAAAACTCATACACCTTTACTAAGGTCCACTTACTTGACTAAAAACAGGAACAGCAGTCAAAGTGTTTCACTTGGAATCACTCTGGCAAAGCTATTTAACACACTGTGCCGAGGACTTGCATCAAAATGGAGGAATTTCCCATATCCTTCTACACAGATTTTAACAATTTATGGCAAAGAAGTAAGTTACTCAGTGTAGATTAGATGGATTCAAGCAATGTTTACATTCATGAACATCCCCTTAGTAATTGAAGGAAAATGTTTAGCATTGTCATTCTAAGTTGCTAAAGTTAAAAAAAAACGACAGAGTTAATGGAACCCACAGGCTACTGATGTGGCAGTTTATCAAATGTAGCTGTAATGAAAGATAAATATTACAGGCAATTCGCACTTCATGAAAGGATAAAAGTGTCAGTGTGTAGGTACCAGTTTTACTGCAGGCCATAATCAGCAAGTAAACGAAAGTGCAAATGTCTAAAAAGTTTACAGCCTCCTATGAAGGCCTCATCTTGTCAGATATTGATTTAGGTTTTCAGAGGACATTGCCAGTGTTAAACAAAGTGAGTGTTTGTGAACTTAGAGGACATGTTCTACTTCTGCCAACAAAAGTTGCCTCAAGCTAAATGTTAATGTGTTCCCATCATTTAAATTTAAGGAAAGGGAAGAAATAGTTTCTTACACAACTATTTTCTTCTTAAATAGAGGGCAGTCCAGAGTGAATGTTTCATATTCGCCACCTTCTCCACACATGTGGACTCCATACTTCTTAGAAAGCTGAAAAGAAAGGGAAATAAAGGCATTTAGAATAAGCATAGGTGTATTCAGATGTCTTTTGTTGAAAATACATGTACATCCAGCACTTACAGAAACTAAGTTTCTCACTAAAACTAAAAAGTGGAGCATACCCTGGACAATCCTGCTGGTGTTTACAGGTTTCTCTGCACAGTGTTTTACACAAGTTGATTCATACTATTTTTAAACAATCTCCAACTTACCATCATATTGTTTTCTAGCTAGACCATTACCATCCAGATACAAAATGATAGCCACTGCATCACAGCAGACAGGAAATGCTGCTGAAATAAGATTATTTTAGGAAAGTGGCTAGAAAACTATAATAACTTTTACATGCATTCCCATATTTAGTTATGAGCTAATCATGGTTCCAATTAAGTCAACAGCAAAATGCCCGTTGACCTTAATGGAATCAGGATGTCATTCTGAGAGGAAGAAACATTTATCTTTTTTTTTTTCCTGGTTACACCCTTGCATTGAATGCAATTGTAAATCAACTAATGAATTTATAAAAGATTTTGCCTGCTGAGAAACTCTGATACATCACATAACAATGTAAACATGGCAGGTGCCAAAGGATAATTGTCCATTTTTAATTCTAAACTTCTAAATTTTAATTTGCCCAATTTAACAATTAGCAAACCTGGGGCTGGATTCAGAGTTTCTCTCAGTTAACACTTGTACAATGTGTTAATCCTATTTCTGTCTTAATACATCTGTTATGCACCCTAACCAGACAGAATTGTCTTCCAGGTTTTCAGCCACATTGCTGCTGCAAGAAGAATCACTAAACCTGTATTGCCAAATCAGGAGGCTCTGTCCCGCTCTGAAATGTCAAGCACTAGCTGCAGATGGAAGAAGGTCCCAGCTAAATGGGGTCAGAGAAAGAACCCCCAGTTCATGATGCCCCTGGATTTGCTCTCCGGCACCTATGAAATATGGAGGTGGCTTCTTCATTAGATATTTGCTAGGGCTGTTCGAAATGGCTGTATTTCAATTCAGTTTCGGATTTGGCCATTTCGGAGGACAGTGATTCGTTTCGGTGTTTCAGATCAGTCCTGTTTTGTTTCAGCTGAATATGTTTCGGAGATTTGGCCCTACTGAATCTCCTCCAAATCGGTTTTGAATGGGCTGCAAGGGAAGCTTCACAGAGCCCTATGCAGCTGGGCAGGGCTTGAGGCTGGGGGCTGCAGGGCCCCAGCGAGGAGCAGGATGGGGCCCTGGGTGCCTCATCCGGGGGGGAAGCAGGGGAAGAGGGTCCCTACCCTCTGTGCAGGTGAGGAGACCCCCGCACAGATCTCTGATCCCTGTCATGCTAGGTCATGGGGTAGGGAAGCACTGCAGAGTGGAGAGCAAGCCTGATGGTCCCTGCTGTGTGACTAAGCTCCACAGGGAGCAGAGATCAGTGTCGGAGTTCTCCTCGCCATTGCTGCCGGCCCCTCACTGCCCTGGCAACATGGGCTGCAAGGAGCGGGCAGTGGCAGCGAGGAGACCCTAGTGCAGATATCTTTTCCCTGCAGAGCCAGGTCACATGACGGAGACCAGCAGAGATCCACGATGGGGTATCCTCCCCGCCGCTGCCCACCCTGTGCAGCCCTGGATCTCTGCTCCCTGTGGAGCCAAGTCACGTGGCACAGACCAGCACAGCCCTGCCATGCAACCTGGCTCCGCAGGGAGCAGAGATCCATGCTGAAGTCTCCTCCCCATCGCTACCCGCCCCATGCAGCCCCGGATCTCTGCTCTCTGCAGAGCCAGGTTGCCCAGCGGGGACCAGCACTGCCCTGCCATGCAACCTGGCTCTGCAGGGAGCAGAGATCTATGCCAGGGTCACCTCGTCACTGCTGCCCACTCCTTCCTGCCCCATGTTGCTGGGGCAGTGCAGGGCAGGCAGCGGCAGCAAGGAGACTCCTGGCGCATATCTCTGCTCCCTGCGGAGCAGAATTGCATGGCAGGGCAGCAGCTTACAGCTGTTTCCCTGCAAGCCCAGTTCTGAAACACTGAAATTTTCCAAAACATTTCCAAAACGTTTCAGGTGCCTCATTTCATTTCAGAGATGTTTCTGAGCCTTCCATTTCAATTCAGATTCGGTGTTTTGGGCACCAAAACAGCCCGAAACACCTCCAAAACAAATCAGCTGCTGGAATTTCAAACAGCCCTAATATTTGCCTAAAGCAGGAGTATTAAACTGACCCTGTCTCCCAGGTCAGATCTGGACCACAGTGCTCCTCACAGGATAGAGGATCTGATGGGGCCAGTAACAGAAGTAGCAGGGCAGGTGGCAAGTCAAGAAGAGCTGTGTCAGCACAGCCTTTATGTGCCCCACTGCCACTGACAACCATGCTCAACAGCACCCCTCTGATTAGCTCTGGATTCTGTGTCAAGCCTCACCTGACCCTAGCCCTACCCCCTCTAGAGGCTGAAGAAAAATCTGACTTCACACATCTGGATAATATAACCTGGCTATGGCCCCAAAAACTAAAATAATATTTTGCCACAGTTTTCAGTAGGACAGAGATGTAGGATATGGGACAGGATGACTAATAAGACTAAGCATATAGAAATGGAAGTTACTAAAACAAAACTCTAAGAATTTAATGAGCTCAAACCAGGAAGACTGGAAAATCTCCACCCTAGAAAGCTGAAAGAATTGTCACAAAATACTGAAAGCTTCACAGCAAAGATTTTATGTGCACCTATCAAATCACAGGTGGGACCATACAACTGGTAAACAGAAAATGTAGTGCTCCATATTAAGACAGACATGGCAGACTACAAAGAATTTGGCAGTACCAGGGAATGGAATTTGGTGCAGGAAGTCCTTTCACATCCCCATTCAGAACAGGCATTTCAAAACTAGAATGGAAGTCAGAGCCACAAAGCTGCTCCACAGGAGATTTGGATTACTTAATTCCCTGACCTTTTTGTTAGTTTCCAAAGGGCTACAAACAGAGCTAGAGATAGTACCAGAGTCTCTGCAAGTTTCAGTGGTATCCTTATGGGGCTGTGAAGTCTCAGATTTAGACAGGCAAGAGGACGGCAGGACAGGTTTCAGTGAGAAGATCTGAATAGGGAACCTTCCACCAGGATTCAGGCAAATTTCTCCACAATGAAAGAGATGGGTCTCTATAATGAGCCAATACTGGCACCCAGATAGGTGTTTCATCCCTGGACTGGAAAGAGATCCCATGGACTTGCCTATGGGATACCTCTGGGGCCTACTTTTGCACTTATTTCAGGCCCAAGATGTAAGAGATCTATATAAAGATCACTTTCCAGGAACACAATTCTCTGAAGTAATAGAGGAATCTTAGGATCATAGGAAAATAGGGATGTTATGGATATCATAAGGTCATCTAGTCCAGTCCCCTGCACAAGACAGGATCAACCCTGGCTAAATCATCCCACCTGCTCTTAAAAACTCCCAAAAATAAAGATTCCACAATTTATCTGTTCCAATGTCTGACCACCCTCATAGTCAAAGAGCTCCTCCTAGTCTCCAGGCTAAACTTCCCCTGCTGCAGCTTGAGGCCATTGCTCCTAGTCCTGTCCCCTACAGCCACAGATAAAAGACCATCTCCATTCTCTCTATAATCACTCTTCATTTATTTGAAAACTGTTATCATATCCTCCCTCACTCTTCTCTTTCCCAGGCTAAATAAGCCTAGTTCTTTCAGTCTTTCCTCATAGGTCTAGTCTCCCAGGCCCCCAATCATTTTTGTTGCCCTGCACGGAACTCTTTCCAAACTCTTCACATCCTCCTTGATGTGTGGGCCCTAAAACCAGACACAATACTCCAGGTGAGGCCTCATCAGTGCCAAATACAGCAGAAGAATGACTTACTTTAACTTGCAAGTGACAAACAATACAACCCAGGATGCTGTTGCCATTTTTTGCAACAAGAGCACAGAATTGGCTCATATTCAGCTTAAGGTCCACTGTAACCATCACATCCTTCTCCGCAGCACTGCAACTGAGCCACTCATTCCCCAGTCTGTTTGCGCATACAGTTATTCCATCCCAAGTGCAGGACTTTACACTTGTCCTCATTGAAGCTCATGTCATTGATTGTGGGCCATTTCTCCAGTCTATCCAGGTCATTCTGGATCCTAGCCTCCAGAAATGCACAATTCTACCCAAATTGGCGTCATCCAAGTGGTGCTAAATGTACACTTAATCCTATCATCCAAATCATTAATCAAAAAGATGTAGAACCATACTGAACTCAGGACAGACCCCTGCGGAACCAGACTTTCTACTTTCTCCTAACTAGACATTGGGCTATGAGAACTACTCCCTGAGTATGATGATCCAACCAGTTATATATCCACCTTACAGTACTTTTGTCTAATCTGCATTTCTTTTGCTTACTAATGACAAAGTCATGGGAGAGAATGTCAAAAGCCTTGCTAAAGTCAAGGTATGCCACATCTATTGTTCTTCCTCCATCCACAGAACCTATCACTTTATCATAAAAGGAAATCAGATTGGTCAGGCATGACTCACTCTTTGTGGGCACATCCCAACGAGCATACACATGCAGGGGCACATGTTTTCCACGGGACAAATAGCAGTCACACATATTTGTGCAGCTGCTATTTGTCCCTGGGCACACCCCTGCATGTGTGATCCAGCACATTACAAATTGACCTCAATGGGGTAGGAGAGGCTGGGGCCAGCACCCGTGCTCGACCCAGCAGCCTTACCTGGGGGCTTCCCAGGGCAGCAGTAATGCCAAACTGGCTGCTTAGAGCCTGGCTGGCAGCCAGTGTGCCTCTGGCTGGCCAGGCTCTGTTTCTGGTGGCAGATGCTGCTGCTGTGTGCACCGCATCACGTTTTTTAGTGGCATTTTTTTTTTAAACCAGGATCTCCCAGTGTAAAAAAAACTGCTGTGCTACAAATTAGCAGTGCTGAGAATGGGTGCATATGTGCCATGTGTGATTTGCAGTGCCTCAAACAATTTCTTGATCACCTTGTTCTCC